TCTCTTGGCTGCATATTGGAGGCAATACAAGCAGCTGAATGTAGCTATGTACAGCCTGGAAGACCGTGATGCCAGTATAGCAAAGGTACAGACTGCACAGCCTTTCTCTGTTAAATTAATGTCTGGGAAGTAACAAACAGCAACAGAAGGAATTAGGTCTTTGGGTAGAAGTGCATTTTCAGGTGTGGGTTTATACTTCTTGAAGGGGATCTGTAAAACTGGCAGTGTGCAATTCCATGTTTTTCATCTGCTTATCAATATTCCCAATCTACAAGTAAAAGGAGGGGGAGATGCTTTTCATTTTACTTTCTAGTGACAGTCTTGTTAATTCAACATGCTCTGAGTTAAGCTGGGTTCTTTAACCTCTAATTATTACCAGTAATAAAGATTATTTAGAACAAATCCTGCCCTTAGCAACTACTTGTTTTAGTGGAGCTGCATAACTGAGGGACTGGGACACAATGAATTTTATGTGATGATACAAAACACAGAATACAACTCAGATTACATCTGAGCTTTGAGTGTGCTGGGAAGGAAGAAAAGTGAGCAAAGTGGGTTAATTTGCTTGCTTTCAAGTAAAATAAACTGGTATTGTTCTTTGTGACCTTTGTATAAACGCTGTGCATAGGTTCATTGAGTGGGGGTGATGCCATTTTTGCAATCACGTAAGAGATATTTAGATCATATTGGGTCAAAGAGTATTCATGCAGTTAGTGGAATAACAAGCAGGGTTTGTGCCCTGGACAAAATGTCTAGGGATGGAGCTTCTAGGGAGAGCTCCACAACTTCTCTAGGTAGCTTGCTCTGATGTTTAACCACCATTATAGTCAGAAAGTTCCTCCTAATCTCCAACCTAAATGTCCTCACTTTACTTGCTCTTAGTCCTGTCCCCTATGGCCACAGAGAATAGTCTATCTCCATTCTCTTTATAATTGCCCTTCAGGTATTTGAAGACAGTTATGAAATCCCCCCCTCCCTTCTCTTCCTCAGGGTAAATAACCCTAGTTTTTTCTGCCTTTCTTTGTAAGTCATACTTTCCATGCCCCTAATTATTTTTGTTGCTCTGTGCTGAATTCTCTGATCTGCCCACATCCTTCTTGAAGTGTGGGGCCCAAAATGGGACATAGTACTCTGAGTATGGCCCCACTAGTGCTGAAGAGAAAATATGAATCACTTCCCTTGATTTGCAAATGACATTCCTGCTACTAGAGCTCAGTATGCTGTTGGCTTTTCTTTTTTCCCCTTTCTTTTTCTTTGCAACAGAAACACGCTGTTGGCTCATATTCAGCTTATGGTCTACTCTGACCCCTGGGTCCTTCTTGTCAGTCTAACCATTTATTCCCTAGTCTTTTTGTGCATTCAGTTATTCCACCCCACACACAGGACTTTGCACTTGTCCGTGTTGAGTTTCATCTGAGTTTAAACACATAATTTCATATGAATTTAAAGAAATAGTTTTTACAGTATAACTCCCATCCACACAGGCTTTTAGCTGGTGGAATATAAGTTGTTCAGGGCTTTGGCAATTATCCTTTATGAGCTTGGCTTCTCTTTACCTTCCATGTTAAGAACAGTAAGAAATTGAACAAGGTTGGAGGCTGAGATCATTCTGTAAGTGGAAGACGTCAAATGAGAACTCTTGTATTAAAAAAAATGGGCTATTTTTTCCCGACTTTGTGGCATGTTCAACGTTTCTTGATAGCATTGTATATTTTTAGATCAGAGTTTTTCAGAAAATTTAAAAAAGTGAACACTTTTAAGATAAATGTATACAACTGTGTTAATATCTAGTTTGTTAAACTAGATATGTCCCTTGAATATTGCTTGCTTGTCTTTTTAATTTCATTAACCATCTGTGTTAACTTTTTCGGTTCTCACTATCAAAGACAACTATTACAGAGGAACGGACATTCTAAGCTCCTGTCTTCACCGCTTTCCAGTGATATGAAAGTAGTGTTTGTGTTTGTTAGTGTTTTTCATAACATTTTCTCTGCTAAAATGTACCATTTTGGGGTGAAATATGAAACAGCTCTTCACTGCTTTGAATAATTAAGGATCATATGGTACAGTTCACAATACTCGAGCATCTGTTATGTAGTTCTGGCCAGATTCCAATACCGTTTAACTACATCTTGCCTGTCTAAGGAAATATTTACACAGGGAAGATGTTCCATTTGTTTGTCATCTTAAGATGTAAACATGAACCAGTTTAGTTACAGTGGTCTAACACCCTGTATAGACACTTTCTTCTAATATAAAGCCTTGTTAACATTTACAAGGGCTGCCTAGCAAGGTTATACTGGTAGGACTATACCAGTAGTCTCCTCTAGTGATCATTTGGATCATATTGACAAAATAGTCTTTTGCTGCTATATGCAAACCAGTTCCCTGTAAGGAATAAACTAGACTAGCTGTGAAACTTTTGCCAGAATATCTTTGCTCGCAGATACTCTATTGCAGCCATTGTTGACTGTTAGATGTCTAATTTATTTTTAAGGCTACTTATCAATCTAAGTATGCCAGCAAAACATAAGTGTGAAAAATCTTAAGGTGTGCTTACCTCTCCAGGCAGTGGTGTGCTCAAACATGGCACACTTTTCCATATGTACTGCAGTCAAAATGAGGGGTGTAGCTGTGTTTTATGCAGCACTGCACTTGTGCTAATTGGAGACTGAATTAGCTAGCAGGTGCAGTGCCTTGTGGCTCTTTTGTTTCAGATTTGAGGTAGTGTGCGCAGAGCAGGTGTGGCATGTTAAAGCGTAATGCTCTGTGGAGCAGTAAATGATGGTACTGTATGTATATGCCATAAGTGGTTTCCACCAATTTAGAGTAAATTCCTTCCCAAGTGACATAAGCTACCCCCCCCCCCCCCCCC